TTTTTTATCCCGCGTACGAGTACATAGAAAAGGCACGAGAAAGGGCTGAAGAGCGCTTGACAAATGAAGAGAACGGCATCCTTTTGAATCTGGATGTCCGTAAAAGGATCGTCCGACGCCGAAATCGACCAAGAATCACGGCGGCAAACTCGTTGCACTTTGTTTAGCACAGAACTTTAAATGGTGTCGATTATGAAAAAAAAAAAGGAAGAATTGTTAACGAGCCGGATGCGGCCGATAGAAGGTTAAGGCGAGCCGAATACGAGTCAGAAGAGCCTCGATAGGTCGACAGGTCGACAGGGGGAATCGAACGAACACGAACGGACAGCCGATCGGCGGAAAGAGACACCGCTGCGTCAGCCCGATAAAATCTCCGATTTACCGCGGCGCGTATCATTACGTGCCGCATGCTTTTACGCAGCGTGCTTGTCTCCGTGGCCGTCACGATAATTACCGGTGACGATCATTGCCAGTGTCTCTACCGTTAATGAGTCCGTAAGGACGCGCCGCGTTTGTCTCGCGCACGTCGTTCGCGGCGCTCTTGAGACGCGCGTATTATTAAAAGCGCGCTCGTCGTCCCCTTCGGGGCGGAAGTTCGCGATCGTGAAAGATAATAAATGCACGCGCTGCTCGTTGAAAATTATTTCGCAAAGACGATGTACAAGCGATCGTTAAAAGTTAGAAAACAAGGTTTTCGTAAAATCAAAGTAGACAGACAAAAATAAATAAATATTATTTTCTCAGTTTTTTTTTCTCGAAATTAAATTTATCGTACCGTTTTTTACAAACTGTTGTAAAAACATTACCGAGAATATCAAAGGATAGTTTGGGTTTCTCGTTCGTTTTTTCACGGGGATTAACGTAAAGAAAATAAATGATAATTCGCTCGAATCCCGTAAATTAATGCTCCTACCTTTCTCCGCGCGGTGCTTTCACACGTGGACCTATAAGTGTCATTAGTCACTGGCGGTAACATTTCTCCGAGAGAGACCCGAGAAAGAGGAGGCAAAACTATTCCTATGCGTTCGCGGAAAAAACACGCCGACAACCTGTTCACGACAATCTTAGCCGCCCGTCAAAAAGCGCGTCCCGTTGTTACAATCATTTTTCAATAGCCTTCAATATCTTTGACTCGAATCTTCAAAAAAAAATGAATAATAGTCTCTTGTTGTTATAATTCTATTGTCGTGTACATGGTCCAACAATGTGAGATTCTTTGCGACCTACAGAGTTAGATTCCTCTCGACGGAGAGGACGGGTTTTTAACGTAAACTGAAAGATATTCTTGTTAAATATGCGGTCGAACACACATTCGATCGGCAAAATTCAAACGCGCTGGAAATCCATTAATATATTCCAGCATGTTGCGAATGCAAACAACGGTTTTTAACGTCTACGTGAGTAGAAACGAGGCTTGACACATTGACAAGAACGTGATACAAGACCACCTTCGCTACTAAACCGAGATGTGTATCTGTGTTTGTTATCTCTCGAGGCTACTGCAATTTGTCAAGGCGCATCAGATCGATCTGAGGGAGGATCCGATCGACAGGTAGAATGGAAGACATTCCCGATACTCTGTAGCGAACGAGACGTTTACTATTTGTTCGATAAGGGGAAACAAATACGTTATGCGCAAAATTGATCGAGATCAAAAAATGTGATCGCATTATGATCGAGCGTTGGATTTTATCGCGAATTTATTGTGCGCGACTGTCGCAGTAAAATAAGAAAAAAAGCAAATGCAGGACTCTGCATTAACTTCTGCATTCTGGCGCCATCTTAAGGCCATTCGAGGATGAGAGTAATAGACTCGACGCAGTACCGACCGTCAAATCGATGAGAATGCTTCAAAAGATAGCGCCACTAAGGAAGATCCCGAAAGATAAAAAAAAAAAAAAAAAGAATATCTGCCGCGCATTGTTTAATTAAAATATCAAACATGTTAATGTATAACACAGATTATAATGTAGATTAGACGTGCAACGATTGATTTCGAAAATAACGCAGTGTAATAACATTACAAAATAGAATCGAGACTTTTAAAAACTTTTTAAAAATAAAATAGAAAGAAAGAATTTTAAAAATTAAGAAATTTTAACTATACTATTGATAAGAATGCTATACTATTGATAAGAATAAAAAAAAACATAATTGATTTAATAATTGATCTACTATATACAAATGAGATTATCGCAATAACACATTAAAATTATGTTTGACACCAGTAAGGAGATTTATGACGTGAACAATGATTACATTGCATATTCATTGCGCGTGTATCACTTTGATAATATTTTTTTTAAATAGATTACATGCACAGTAGAGACACATGCAATAAAGTATGTTATTACTGAATATATGTACTTCATACATTGCAAAGTCATTGTTATGAATGTTCGTAGTTAATACAAAAAAAAAAAAAAAAAAAAAACATGTAGATATACTAGTTTGCAAACTATTACTATTAGTCTATGATTTCTTAATGTTTGTCGAATGATTATATGCAAAAAACGATTACATACAAAAATATCTCGTTTCAATTTGTTTCTCGACTAAGTTTTTGGGTTGATGTGTTTCTTTTTAATTTTATATGGCTGCTTATAAAAAATCTTGTGCTTGTTAGCACAAAGGTTTTGCAACTTTGAGATTTATTGAAGGAATATAGAAACAAAATGTAAATCAAACATGAATATTGAGTTTTTGATCTAAATATGAACGTTGTCTTTAAGTGTCTATGTAAGCTATCAAACTTACTGAATCATGTATTTAGTTTGCATAACTCATTGGAAAAACTAAAGAAAACTGATAAATGGATCAACGATTAGCGAGACAATATACAAAAAAATATATACCTATATTGATAAAAAAATTGCAGCCGAGAGAGAGATGTAACATAAATGAAATAATACATATTGTAAATGTGATGTATAATTATTTTCCGCGTAATCAATATTTATCGGCAATCTATAGATATATGCATCATATAAAAATATGATGCAAAAGTAAAAATAAACACGCAAATAAACACATCGTCGCGGTTACGACAGTCGCATGATACAAGTTATATTTTACGTGATAAAAAATATTTTTATACTTGGAAAAAAGTCAAACAAAAACTTGTGGTTCTAAACTATACGTTGCATCATGTGCAACTTGTTGCGTCAAAATTTTGCACGCTGTTTATCGACAGGCGTCGCGAGCAAACAAAAAAATAAAACAAAACACACAGAACAAACAACATAAAAACTTTCTCGTCCTTCTCTCCCTTCCTATTTTCACGTTGGAATAATTTTCTTTTTTTTTATCGTGACTGATAAACAGAATTTCATATAAAGAGATGTAGATGTTCGTTGGATAATCTGAATCTCTGAAAATCGGTTGATTATCTGCACGACCCATTTGTACGCGTACAATGAATAATCGCAGTTTCTATGTGTCGATCATTACATAACGTTCGGTAGTTAAATGATTCATACGGCAGTACATTGTATATAGGACTGACGCGAAGTGACTTGCCGCTATACCTCAATCGTGAAGTATGTTATCGCTATTACCGAGAATGCTATCATTAAATCGGCGAGACTTTATCCTTCACCGCGGCTTTGGCGCCAAGCGCATCTCAATGTCAATGAAAAATCCAATAGTCAAATAAACTATCCATCATACTCGTGTTCTCTATCAGTTATATTTTCGTAATCATTATGGTAATATTTATGCGCTGATGCAATGTGTCATTTATTAAATAAAAGACGAAAAGATGCAACAAAAATGACACACACACGTCTGATAAATGTTGTCTGTAAATATCATATTGTGGTTGTTATTTGAACAGTTCACTGCGTAAATTAACGTCATTAATTTCACCTTGAATCGGAGACGTTTCACGTTCACGACGGAAGATATTTCGTCATTTTGATGTGACCAACATCAAAATCAAGAATAATCAGTACCGCACGATATGTGTGAGATAGATAGGAGAGATACTGAATATACGTTGAACGATAGATACTACACTCGAGTATTTGCGAAAACATTGCTACTAACTTTTAAAATAAAAATCGATGGAAACAATCTTATAACGTGAAGTTGAATTGTTTTGATTAAATAAATATCACAAAAAAATCTTCTTACGCTGTATAAAAATTAATTAATTAAATTTGTTATCTCAAAGCTGGTATACGCCTTAATCAGGTCAAATAGTAAATTCACTACCGTTCGGATAAATTTGTAAACGTAATGGCTTTAAATATGTAATCGATACTCTCGATAATAAAATATAAATAAAGATGTAATAAATATGATGTAATGTGTGCACGCAACTAGATATCAGAAAAGCTTTATAACATGTCCGAACAACAGCTTACGCACCAACAAACCGAGCTTTACACGGAAAACATGACATCATGTTGAATATCCGTATTGCCGCACAATGATCATATGAGTTGCATATCAGAACACGTTTGACCAGTTATATTAACATCACTGGACGCTAAGAGCGCGATGAAGAAAACGACTAGGTTATTTCACGTGGCTGTGAAAGATTAATAAAGAGACGCGTCTCTCAGACGTCAGAAGCGTGTGAAGTGCAAAAAGAAAAATGAAAATCTCGATAATGCGCGAATGACTTACTGTGTAAAAAAAATATATCTTAAGAATGTATCATTATCATTATATTATTCTTTGTTTATCTTCGCTTTATCGTCGATTATTGTTGCATTTTTTACGAGAAAAAAAAAATTCTTTGAGACACGTTTTTAGTTTTTTGAACATTGTAATAATAATATCTCTAGGAAATTTGTGTTATTTTTCGAGTTACCTTGATCGTTCTCTTCTTCGAAAATTTCACTTTACACTCGATTACGCGACTTCGACACGTTTCTACTTTTATACATCGCGCACATTTCGCGCCGCGAGCTAAACTCACACTTTCTCTTTCGCATCTCCCATCATCTCTCTCTTCCACGATTTATTTACTATAGCAATATCAAAAAACCTACCGCGTTTGACATCACCTCCAGACTCATGGTTGTGTTCCGTTTTTTTTTTTTTTTTCAAACTTCGAGAACGTTTCGGCCGAGAAAGAAATCAAGCGCGTGCGATGTTCTCCCGCCAGTGCGACACAGTGTAACACGTCACGGTTATTTTGGGCGGGCTCGTCGTCGGCGCGCAGGATAACGGGAAGAGAGGCGTCTTCTCTGTAAAATCGCGTTTCTGTAAAAACGCCACACAATCAGGTGCTCGCTACACGATAACGTGGTAAATGCGACGTAGAGAACATCGCTCACTCAGATCGACTCACCCAAGTGTCGGGTTTCCAGCAAGCGCGTGGTATATTTTAACAATATATCAGCGTTATAATCTTATCGGAAGCGCGGGGGATGATCCGCGAATCAAACACTTCACTTTTTTTTTAGCAGCGCTTAATGGGAAAAGTTCAATGAACGAAATTGAGCTTTGAACGATTTTCGCGCCGAGGAGTTGATGATTCTCTCGTTGCGATTTACACACTTGCGATCGCGAGACTGAAGATCACGCGCGACGGCGGCACCGAGAGACGACGTAATCAACGAACGACGGACTAAACGGCGGCAACAACGACGGATTGCTCGACGGAATGCTACAAGCGCGTTGATGATAACAACAAGTACGCGATGTGCGAGCGACTGGGTTGCACTAATCGTGTTGCGAATTGCGAAAAACTGATGTGAATAGCTGCTCTCTTTCTCTCACACTGCCTATGCGGTAAATGCTGATGATAGGCTCTCGAGCCGGCTTCGCGGCCTTGCCCGAGGTCACAACGCAATAAAATCGTATTCCAAGTAAGATAAATAATTTCTATATCTTATTTTGTCCTAAAACCCCAACATTTTTTAATGTGTTACATTCTTAAACGAATTCTCTGTCTAATTAACAATGTTTCGAACACGCTCATACAAATGAGATCTCACTTCTGCACATGATTAATATATATGTTTCGTATTATCAGGAAGGCTAATTTTGCTAATATCGAGTGATTTTTTGAGTGTAGTTTCGAATTGTTTCTTTTTCGAATAAATTTAATATCGCGATGTTGATAGAATCAATATGAAACCGTTGTGAGTGGTCAGGGATAAGATATTGTTGCCAGTCAAAATTTGCAATATGAACATATGTCTTTATAGTTCGTAAAAAAATATAAAATGTGGAATAAAACTATCAAAGAACTAATATTTTATATTTTCGCACTGATAGAGAAATATATTTAATACATTTTCAAGCACAAATAATGAAAGAGAGGCCAATCGCGAGGCAACTTTCCCGTGATATGGCAGTAAGTATTCACAAAATATCTTTTTGCAGTTTGCAAATATATGAATAAATACTTCAGCTGAATAAAATTTGCAAAATATCTTTTCTTACTTGTCTCAATTTTTAATATTTAATTATTTTTTTTTTTAGGAATATATTTTGTCAATTTTTTCAACACTATTTTTGTATCATATCTCTTAGCTAAACATCCGCTTTTACATCCGCGCTGTATGATTACATCGTCTTGTTTGGAAAAAATAGCAGTTCGGTGATAAGATCGATGGCGACCTCTCGATATTTCGGGCATCGCCGCAATAATTTCAGTCAACGGTATAAAAATCCGGTATCAAAACAAAATAACACTCTCAATACCGTTTAATGTGATTAATAAGTGTCAAATCGGACTCGACGCTCAGATGTCAAAGAGCCTTAAAAGAAAACGACTACGATTGCGAAATCAAGGTTGTTGATCATCTTAGATAATAACATCATGTATAGAACCGCAATTATTGCGAACATTCATTAATGTCAGTTGAAAATAAACAACATTTTCATCTAGCAGCATGCGATGCAAAAAAAAAATGTTATACAGAAAGCACGAGAAAAAAAAACTAGACAATATGAAGAATATGTTTGTGTGTCATTATAATAAGAATAACTTGATCTCTTATATATAATGGCCCCCCTCTCTCTACAATATATTTATTAATCAAGTGGTCAATAAGAGAATTATTTCTTTTTATAATAATAAAAAAAAAAATTTGAATAACATTAAATTTCTTTACATCATCGAAGAGTTTTAATATTCAATTGTTGCTGTAACAGCGGCCGTAAAAAATAACAAAATAAAATCCGATTCCTATCTATAGCGAATCTTATATATCAATAATAACAACTGGAATAAACATTCTATCGCGCACAGATTGAATAAGTTCTTTCTTTTCGCGCGCGCACTGTTAAGTCGCAATAGTGTAAATTGGTTCGATTAACATACCAAGAAAAATTATTACTTTCAATTAACCGAAGGCGACCTCGCTACTTGTGTCGTTGCGCGAGACCGTTTCTTGTTTTAAGTTTCTTTGAAAAATAAAAATGCGTTAATTATTGAAAAAATTCACGAGAAATCTTATCTTTACAGCTCCCAAACAGGCGCGCGATAGCGCTCCACAAGCTTCTTTATCAGAGATAACATTAGACCGATCCCGCGAACATAGGCGGCGAACGTATCGTATCGCGTATCGTACTGTTTTTTTTTATTTTTTTTTTTTTATCGCAATAAACGAGATATTGCTGAAAGAGAAAATAACTCGTGTGCATGAACGCGACTATGTGTGACGCGCACGCTTGTTTGAAATCGAGAAACGCGCGAGTTTCTCGTTTGTAAGTACAAATTCAGTTTTAATGCAGAGAATGATTTGATCAGCAATCGGTATTATCTTGAATATTAGCCCGTTTGTTGCTCGAACTGTTTTACCGATGGATAATTAAACCTGAGCGGTCATTGTTAGCCAAACGCGAATCAAACCTTGGTTTTGGTCAATAGTTTGGAGAGGAGCCAGTAATGTAACGATGTACACAACTAGTTGAAATAGAACCATGCAAAGAGAGAGAGAGAGAGAGAGAGAGAGGCGATCCATGCAAACTGGCCTGACTGGTTTATTAATTATGCAGACTATAATAGACCGCACAGTGGTCTACAACTGCTTTTCACTTAACTACTCGCGACTACTATCAACGTTAATTGTTTCTCTCTAAAATTTTCTTTCTCATAAGTATATTAAAATCACATACAAGGCTATTTTAGAATTTAAAAAATATTCCCCTTATTTTTTTATATCGCATTAGATATAAAAATAATGTTTAAAATCAATCTTTAAGAATACACATTGCGTTCTCTTGTGAGAACACAGAGAAAATTTACTATATTAAAAAATATATATATGTATATATATATTAAACAAATGTATGTCTTAAACTCCAAAGTACAAAAGATAGATACGTGAAATTTCTATATTTACTGAAATATATGTATATTCTCTCTCTCTCTCTCTCTCTCTCAACAAAGAGAAAGCGCGAAAATATTAACACGCTCCACACACGCACACGCAAGCGATAAATTAAGCGACACAGTTGTGTTAAATATATAATGCACACTCTCCTGTTGAATGATTCATCGCGATATATCGACGATATGTCCGTTCGGACAAACTTGACGAAGAGCGCAATACAAAAATATCGGGGATTCTCCATTTGCGATTGATAAATAAGCGGTCGAAAACGCGTGGGTTAACACGCGAAGGTTACGAGAGCTTTGAACCTCTCTCTCATGAACGAAACAAATGTTGCAGAACACGCGGGATGTGGTTATTTTTGAAAATGTTATTTTGCCCTCGACAATTTTGGAGGACACTTTTCCTAACCGCGCTCACTCCGACAAACGTTCGTAAAAAAAAAAAAAAAAAAACGTTCTGCGCTGTACGTACACGCGCGCGTGTGTGTTTCGACTTTTGCGTGTACTTGTTGCGACTGCGCCTAATTTTATAGCGCAAGTCGCAAATAGTGCGACGAGCACAACGTTGTTTATACGAGGAAAAATTTTATATACCGACGCGACAAAAGCAACGACCGCGTTGCGCTGATTCGTTTTAAATTGCTTCGTCTCTCGCTCTCTGATTCACGGGAAAATCTTTGTTTGATTTCAAATATTATATCGCGATAAATTCTAACGAGACTCTCGATTTTCATTCTCGTGTTCGCACAGAAAAGAAAAATATTTAGATATCGCAATATTTACGATCAGAGTGATCATGAATAACGAGACGATCTCTGATACATCTTGATTACAAGGATAAATAGTAAACTGTCAGATTTTCTTCTTTTGATTTGATTTAGAGAGAGAGAGAGAGAGAGAGAGAGATTGTGTTTTTCGATTATTGTATATTTACGTCTTTGTGTTCTCAAATACTCGTTAAAGGAACTTCGAGATTTTACTTCGGAATTTAATTTGACTGTGCGTCACACATCGTACGTTCGAAGCGACGCTTTTGAAGATTCAAACGACAAACCAGACGATGCAAATGTCTTCGCGTTATCAAACACTTACCACTTACAAAATCGAAATGTACAACAATACATCGTGCGACACATTGTACATTCTAAGTGTGTGCGACACGATGCAGATCCTTTGCGCAGTTTGTGCAGAAACAGCGAGACGAATAAAAAACGCGAAGTTCGTCGTTGTTTTATCTTCTAAAAAAAAACGTACCTGCACAATACATACCTGAAACAAGAAAGCAATATCATCCTTTTAGATGGCTGCTTTAAAAAAAAAACTGCTCAAATTATGTAAGCATATAGCGAGCAATTTTCATCATACACGCGATACCGAGAACACTTTTTTTAACATCTTTGTGGTGAAAAAGTCACGATAAGTTTCGTCATATTAATCAACAACTGTCATTTTTTTAAATATTATCTTTGTATATAATGAAAGAAGAAATTCGAAGCGATATCCTTGTGTGAGTCTCGATTTCGCTACTTAAAAACTTGTATACACATACTCGCGATGATATAGAGAGGTGTTTAGTACATATAAATCAAACATGTTTTTTGTTTGTCAGCGAGAAACGAGGTTTGTGATCCGATAAGAAACGTACATATGGCACGAACACGACGATTATCCGCGGTTGCTTCCTCTTCTTATGTGCCATCTGAACACGTTCGGCCGCGAGCACCGATTTTGAGATTTAAACGTTCGATTTGATTTGAGCGTGAGCGGAACGCGCGCCAACTTAACCTCAACCCGACGCGCAACGAGTCGGCGAACTGCCGTCTCGCACGTCGGCATCGCCGGGATGGCCCTCACCGCGCGACGGGTCGTCAGGGTCATAATTTGCATTTGCTCAGGATGCTGATTTATGAAAATTTATGGAACGTAACTCAATGTAACTGTTAGACAAAGGCGAATTATATTCAACGTCTCTAACAAATAAAATTTCTTTTAAAAGTAACCCGCGAATACATCAGTAAAACGAAATGCTTTATTCCCGCTACTGTATTATAAAAGAGAAATGTGTCAATTGTTGTAATCTAACTTCGAGTCGATAAAAAAAACACAATAGCTGAATTTTATTTAAAATTGCCTGATATTCGGCGTCTATAATAAATAAACTCACGTACTGTTGTAACAATAAGATTAAACGCTGACATTAGCTCTAAATTAATTAATTAATTAATGTGCGATTCGCTTATCGTGGACATCGGTTAGAAATAGTGACAAGATTCAAGATTTCTGAAACAAAATATCGACGATGAAACGAACGAACTTTGCAACAGCGACCGATTTTTCCGGAGTTTAGAGATT